ATATATATATATATATATAGGTTGTCTAAAAATTACAACAGATAGTTGATCCCCATCAAACACCGATGATAGAAGTTACAATTCGACGACTTCCAGAAGGTTACAATCTGACGATCTTCATAACAACCAATGAAATCTCTAATTCAACAGCCTTTACAATCAACATCGGGAGTTACGATCTGATGACTCTCATATTTTCAAGAAGCCAAGATGAAGGTTACAAGGTGACGATCTTTGCAACGCTCTAGCAAAAGAGGCTACAAATTGATGGTCTCTTCATATTAAAACACAGATATCTCTCAAAATGGAAGGAATGTGGCAAAATGGAGGAAGCAAATTAAACCCTATGGGGTGGTTTGGTCAGCTCCATCTCGTCGAGATAGCCGATTTTCATATATAATTCGTCTTATTCCGACTTACGGTTTGAAAGTTATGACATGTTCTTCGCAGCAAGTTATGTTCTGAAGTCCGTCTGTGAGACTGCACTTTGCCTGAACATTGGACTGCCTGAAGCTCTCCGAGCCTACCTGAGGCTCACCTCTGCATCTAATATTCAAAACGCAGAGGTCATGCCCGCGTTCTAAACTCAAAACGCAAAGGTCGTGACCGCATTTGAGATTCGAAACGCAGAGGTCATGCCCGTGTTCTAAACTCAAAACGCATAGGTCGTGACCACATTTGAGATTCAAAATGCAGAGGTCGTGGCTGCATTCCAGAGTCAAAATACAGAGTTCATGGACTCAAAACGCAGAGTTCATGCAGAGCCCAACTCTGCGTCTCAGGTCCAAAACGTAGAGTTCATGCAGAGCCCAACTCTGCATCTCGGGTCCAAAACGCAGAGTTCATCTCTGCGTCCCAACTCTACGTCTCAGGTCTAAAACATAGAGTTCATCTCTGCGTCCCAACTCTGCATTTCAGATTTACAACACAGCGCGACCTGTGCGTTCAGCCACCAAAATAGGCCTAACTCTGTGTTTTTAGTCTAAAAACGCAGAGTTCGGGCCCTGAACGCTATTTTTTACGTTTGACTCGTTCAAAGCACGAACTGAACGGTTTCTAAACCGTTTTTCCCATGATTTAGGGAGCTATTTAAGGGGGTGGTTACACCCCATTCAACCTCACTTAGGAGCGAATTAAGGGGATGGTTATACCCCTTAATCCCCTATAAATAGTGGAAAACTCAATTGAGTTGGGGGGAATTTTTTGGGGCGATTTGACTCTTGGATTCAGCTTTCTTTTTCATCCTTGGGCTTGGTAGCAAAGAAGACCCTTCATCCTTCGGCTGGAGCTTCCTGCAGTGACAAAGTTCCTTGAAGCCTTCGGTCTTGGCTTGTCAAACCGATTTTCTGTTAAATCAACTCTTTCATAGAGTTTCAAACTCGTTCAGAGTTATCAACTCATCAAGAGTTTCAAACTTGCCACGCAAGTTCTCCACAACGTCAAATCGTGAGGAGAAGACCATGTTCCAGTGAATCAAGACGTTCGGATCGTCAACGGAGAGCAAACTCGACGCAAGCATTCGATAGAGACACTCCATCGCCACCGTGAAGAACCTAGAATTAAACAAAGGGGAGAATCCAGATCAATTCTCCTCTCTTTTGTAATCAGAAAATTCAATTGTAATCGAGATCGAGAGAATACAAATCAAATTTCTTTCATTATTTTTCTTATTACAAATTTTCCACCAAACAAAAGATGGCGACTCCGCTGGGGAAGATAAGCTTCTCTGACGAAGAAGTGGTGGTGCAATCCGATGTTAACCTCGCTGGAACAACGGTCGAAACTCTCGTGGTAGAGTTTGATCAAGCCAAGCTTGAGAAAGCCCTCTCCTCAGGATCCCTTAGCCCCAAGGCTATGCGCAAGATCCATAAAGTTTCTAAGGAGACTAAAGCTCCAGTTATGGCCGACTCATCTAAAGACTATCTCCCCTGGGGGTTGTACTGTTCATACAGTCTCCTATCTAAAGGAGAAGACTTCGCTTCGGCACAATTCCAAAAAAGCCGACCCTCCAATCAGCGCGAGCGCCGCGTTTGTGAGCCTCAACACGAGCTCTGCATAAGCCAAGATAAATGCAGCCCTCAGGGGTGCATTTCCCAAATAAAACGCAACCCTCAGAGGCGCGTTCCAACATCAAAATGCAGACCTCAAAACTACATTGATCTGGCAGAACGCAACTCTCAGGAGTGCGTCCCAGAACCAAAACGCAACTCTCAGGAGTGCGTTCAAGATCCAAAACGCAGACTTACGAACTATGTTAACCGACAAAAATGCAACCGGTAAAGGTGCGTTTCATCAACAAAACGCAGACTTCGGTCTAGCGTTAGTAAAACAGAACACGACCCTTGTGTTTCTTCTTCAGAACACGATGCGATTCGTCGTGTTCAAAAAGATCAATGTGGATTCAAGATCCATGTTCATCAGGAGCCATTCCTGTCCAATCATAGACTGGGAGTTCCAATTCAAACCTCACGATCAGTGAGTAATTCTCGAGTCTTTACAACAGACTTGAGAGAGTTCATATCGAGAGAAAGACCGATGCAACAAGTCATTCGTTTATTCCAATATGAACGACTGATTCCTACGGTCCTCTCGGGATGTCAATGTTGCTCATATGCGGCCAAACTGTTGGTGCTCGACCAATTTATGAACGTTTCTTTGCCCAACCAACGACGATGTTCTCACAGGAAGAAGTCTCCAGAGACCGAATATCCTGGGGTCACTATCAATGTGATCGACAGAGGGAAAGCCTTGGGTCCTAGTTCCGATGATTCTGAGACAAGTCGTTCACCGACTGTCAGAGAAATCGCTAACGAGTTTGAAGGAGTCTACCAACACATTCGAACACGAACAGGAGCCATTCCCTCTATCAACTATCGGAGGTTAGCCAGAGGAACCAATTCCGATGATGAACACTCAGCCATTGCAGAGTCCCAATCATCAAGCTCTTTTGTTGAACATGAGAGCTCCGCTTATATGACGGGAAACCATGAAGATCTCGCGAAGAGACTTGATGAGCAGGAGGTCATGATCAAATCTCAGCAGGAGGCCATCAATGAACTCTTGGCCCTGATGAATCAAATCGTCGTAGACAAGGCCAAATCTCAGAAGACAGATTCGCCACCTAGGCAAGAACCCTCCCGAAGATGAAAACGTCTTCATCTCGACCTCACACAAGCAAAGGGAAAGGAAAGTGGTTGATGACATGGCTTCTGACTAAGAAGCCCACAACCTGAAATCTTCCTCTGATGAAGGAAGGGAGACTGAGAACGAGCATAATATCTAGTCTGCCAAAATGGAAGAATTGGAAGCCCGCCTTAATGCCATTGCCAACAGAAGCGAGCTCCAAGACGAGGGAGTTGTCAAACCCTATCCTGTCGAATGGGATGCAGCCCCTTATCCTCTAAAGTTCGAAGTCCCGATGCTACAAACTTTTGACGGCACGGGATCACCGAATCAACATATCTATCATTTCAAGTCACAGACTGGGAATGTGATATCAAACGACACCATACTGGCTCGATTGTTCATTGGCACCCTCAAGAGAGTTGCCTTTGAATGGTTCAGGAAACTACCTGCGGGATATATTCAAAAGTGGGTAGATATAAAAAGACTCTTCCTATCAAGATTTTTTGAAGATGATACAGAAGTCTCAATCCATACCCTTCTCGCCACTAAGCAGAAGAAGAGGGAGTCCATCAAAGCCTTCGTCAAGAGGTTCCGAACCATGGCTCTCCGGTGTTCATCAGGTATGACACAGTCTACCTTAGTGGAGATCTGTCGACATAACTTGCATACCGACCTTCTAGTACAAATGAGGGTTGCAGAATGCCGTTCCTGGAGACAACTAATCTCTCAAGGTGAACAAGCTCAAAAGATT